AATGTTAATAATAGATATAACACTGACAACATACTATATAAAAAATACTATCCAATATATATATAAAACTGTTAGGTAAAAATTCAAAATCGCCACATAGATTTTTTATATAATATAATTAATGACATGATTCAATATTTCCACCAATACTCAAACTTTGGATATACAATAATTATGTATAAATATATTTCTTTTTTGACAATATTAGACCATGTTTGTTTTTGCATCCATATAATGTATCTAGATGCAAATACTCAAATATTATTATTTTACAAACTATTAATTAATCATCTGGATTTTGGAAAATGCAAAACCATTATTATTTAAAAATTTGGATATATGAGATGCCAAAAATATAGAATTTTAATGGAACATTTGCATCTCAAAAAATAAAAGACCAAAATACTCTTTAATATGATATAAACTATAAAATTAAGTTTTTCTTGTAAAAACATAAGATTGAGGTTTTCTATCGAAATCATAAAACTGCATTTTCTCGCTGAAAGTATAAAATCATGTTTTTCTCTAAAAATGAAATTTCTCACCAAAACTTTGAAGTACTATTTTCTACCAAAACTGGAATCATTCTGTTAAAATTGCATACTTGTATTTTCTAAGTCATGTTTTTCCAAACACACCATAAAACTGTGTTTTATAGCTGAATTTTTAAAATCATGTGTTTCTACAAACCCGTAAAATCACATTTTTTCCACCAAATCTGCAAAACTAGATTTTCTGGCAAAATGCATAAAACTGCATTTTCCCGCTAAACATGCAAAATCATATTTCCTACCAAACCTGCAAAATTATGATTTTCCGTAAACCCTGTAATACTAATTTTTTACGTACACCACGACAAACTTTATTTTCCCACCAAACATCAATAAAATCTGTTTTTTCCGCTAAATTCGTAAAATCGTGTATTCTCACAAAATCTACAAAACCATATTTTTTCATAATCCTGGTTAAAATTACACTTTCCGCCAAACCGGCAAAACTATATTTTTCCGTCAAATCCACAAAACCACGTTTTCCATTAAACTCGTAACATCGTGTTTTTTTGTAAACCTTGTAAAACTACATTTACCGCCAAACCCGATAAACCACATTTTCTCACTAAAATTGTCAAACCGTATTTTTTCATAAAATTCTTAAAATTATATTTTTTCCCACCAAAACTCGTAAATCTGTAAAATCTACCTAAATCGATAATCATGTTTTCCATCAACATCATAAAACCATCTTTAATGGCCAAATTTCCGAAATAGCATTTTAAAAACGTGTTTATGTACCAAACTCCTAAAATTGTGGGTTTTCGATAAAATTTTAAAATCGTTTTGAGTATAGCTAGAAAAAGTTCAACTTAAAAATATATACTCTTGGTGTTTTAAGATTTTTTGCATCCATGTTTTTAATTAAATTTAAATGTAAAAGCTAGTTTAAAATAAAACATTTTCTAAATGCTGCATTTGAAAGTTGAAATCTGAAAATTATTTATATCGCCACATTTATTCATTCATAGTTTTTTTATTGAAATCAATAATGGTTAGAAAAAATTTACCAATCATCTTCAATTAATTTAATATTGTTTCAATTTTGTATTTATTACTTTCAATGATTGATTAGTTAACAATTCATCAGTTTTTAATTGAGTAATCTTTATTATATGTGGTAGATTCAATTAACAATAAATTTGATTAAATTTTGAACTTAATATTAATAGTAAGTTATAGTAATAGTATATTTGTATGAATTCATTATTAATATTATTTGACAAGCAGTTTTATTGAAAAAGCTGATGTGTCGCAACCAGAAGAAAAAATTAGTGTAAATTAACGATGACCTGGAAATATGACATGACAAATTTTCTAAAATAAACGAAATATTTTGATTGGTTAAGTTAAAACTAAATAAATCTCATTTTTAAATAATAAAAAATATATCATATGTGAATGCATTATCATTATATAGCAAGAATTCAAAATTACAAATGAATAAAACAATAAATGGATAAAAAAATAAATCATTAATATTATTTGACAAGCAGTTTTAATTAAAAAACTGATGTGTTGCAACCAGAAAAAAAGTTAGTATAAATTAATGATGACTTGGAAATGTGACATAGCAAATTTCTTAAAATAAACAAAATATTTTGATTGGTTAAGTTAAAACTCAATAAAACTCATTTTTAAATAAGAAAAAAAGTTTATATCATATGTGAATGCATTGTCATTATATAGTAAGAATTCAAAATTTTAAAATAAACAAAAAAATAAATAGATAGAAAAATAAATTATAATTATCCTCTTAGCAAACCTTTTTTCATAATACAATATATATTGAATAAGAAATATAAGTAATAATAAAAATGATTCTTTACGACTTTGATTTTTTGTAAAAATCTCAGGCTATATTTTTGGTTTAAAGCATCTTCAATCCACGTTTAATTTAAATCTTCTAATTTAGAGAAAAAATAGAGATGTTATTTTCTCCTCTATAATAGGAGAAAAAAGTAACAATCTTTCTTTTTTCGGTAAAATAGAAATAAGTTGGAGAGAAATCCACATATATTTTTTTTTTTAAAAAATAGAAATTACATTGGAGATGATCTTAGCATTTAATATATTATTAAAATCTGAGTCAAAAGAGACAAAGAAATAAAAAATAATAATTTTGATCGATTTTATATTTTTATGTTAAAATTTTAAAAATATTATCTTCAACATATTAATTCTTTCATGCATATATTTTTTTCCAATATATTAAAACATTGTTTCATGAATCAAGTTTTGTATATATTGCGGTCGAATATATTTTATATTAACAAATATATCAAAGTTAGGAACATCAGAACTCTTAATTATTAATATAACAGTCAAATATTAAATATATTATTTTACACCTTAAATCATACATATTTAAGTTTAGATCCGACTCGTTCAAACGCTGTGGTTACGTGGAGTTTGTGGAAGTGAACGATTGCAAGTTATAAAAACTTTGATGAAAAGATGAACAGAGAGCTATCGGAAAATTTTATTAAATATAATTTCACAAATTTATAATAAATCTTTATTATATTTTTTATTGAGAAACCATATATCATAAAACACTAGAAAATAAGAAATTTTGATTAAATACAAAACGATAGAAACGATTTTCTTGATCGTTGTTAAACGCCAAAAACTGCATCCTATAAAAACATAAAGTTTTCAGAATATAACAGAAAAACTAACCAACACCTAAATATTACAATTCACTTATTTATAACTCATACCTACATGCAAAAATATACGTACTATTATTTTTTTAAAAAATTAACCATACATTATAAAAATATATATTTTGTATTTTTTAACACATAAAAGCCATACTTCAGTTTTTTCATAAATACGTGTATAGATATAAATATTAATTGTGCAAAAGTCAAAATTGCATGATGCGAACTTGTCGTGCATACATTTTGTTAGCCTCGATTACAATCTAATTTTAATTTTAGTTATTAAACAATTTATATATATTTTAAAAAATCTCTATATGTCCTAAGAGCGATTAGGTGGACCAACCATATACTCGCTCTTAGCATAAGTAAAAATGATAAAACCCATTTTGGTTTAATTAGCAATATGTCAAGAAAAAAAATATATACTTAAAAATATATATATTGGCAAGATTAAATTATGTAAAAGGAAAAAGAAAGCATAGTATAGATAATATTCAAAACAATATTATAAGAATTAATTATTATTTAATATAACTTTTACATTTAAAATTACATGTTATTGTAAACGCTAGAAAAAATAAAAAAATTTCAAAAAACACAAAACGATATGAAAAGTTTGTGTGACTGTTGTTAAACACTAAAACTCTATATATATAAAAATATAATGTTTACATAATGTATAAGAAAATTAATCAATACTTAAATATTACAGCTAATTATGACTATAAAAAAATTACACCTGCACATGCGTGCAGACCAAAAATAAAAATTAAGTAAATTATTATTTATTTTAATATATTTCGTTTGTTTAGTTATCATATTCACAATTTTTATGTAAGAAAGTAGTTTAAAATATTGGTTAATATTTTCTTTAACTTCAATTTTATTATAATTTATAACATTTTATATTTTATTTATCGTTGTTTTTTTATTATTAGATGTTTATATAATATTAATATTCATAAAAAATAATTAAATACAAATATAGTATTTTCAATATACTATATTAATCATATATTGAATATATAAAATATTTTATAGTTTGCACACGGTGTCAGCCGATCACCTAGTATATTATATATGAAATAGTTTAAGTATTAAATATTTTGTATTTACTATATTATTTTACAAATAATAGTGATATTTTGAAAAAAGTTAAAAAAATGTCTAATTTGGACATTATAATTTCCAAATTAAACTATATTAAGAAGATTAATTTTTTCTTTTGTCGACTTCAGGAGACAAATGTTTGTCTTATTTTATTTAAACATAAGTAAGAAAACAATAGACGAACATATGAGGATTGAAATGAATGCAAGACATTATAATTGTTACTTACAGTGATCGTATGTGATTTATAATGTCGTTTGATAAGTTGATGTCTAAAGTTCAAGTCCCATGTATAAAAATTTTTTCAGTATTTAGTTCACAATTTTATTAGTGTGAATTGATGCATTATTGTAAAAAAAAGCTATTATTTCACATAATAATTTTTAAATAGATGTATGTTTTCATATCTGAGTTTGTAGACGTGTTTGTTCAAGTTGCTTTGTGACTCTGTCTCAATAAAAAAATAAGCAAGAGTACCAGTTCCAACAATTTTTCTCTCTTTTCTTTGTTTCTTTCTTTCCCTGTCCCTTGTACATCAAAATAAGGTTAACTACAACAATTTGATGAATCTTTTGTTTCCTGAATTCTTTGGTTCAATTTCTTTCTATCAAATTCAAATATATATATAAGAGAGAAAGAGAGAGAGACTATATGAGTGATGAAGGAGACCTCAAGCATTAGATGTTTCAGAGGAAAGAGGCTGAAGTTCTTGTTCTTTAACAACAGCACTTACAGGCTCATAACTAGCTTCTTCTTGCTTTCTCCTTCTCAACACCAATACAAGTTTTATCATCACCGAAGTAACCAGCAACGAGATCATCACTCCTCCCACTAAACCAAGTAAATGCTTCTCCCACCAGCTTCTGCAACCACAACATCAGAAGGTCCGTACATAAGATCAAAAATCTAGCGAACCATCGATGATTAGATATCGAAAGATACGAGGGGAAAAAGAAACAATACTGTTTCGGCTTTTGCTCAGCTTTCCATTCTAACAACTTGTAGCTTCCGAATTGTCCAGGTAGACGCAATTTGTTTTCCTTCAGAAGCAACATTATGTTCTGCAACCACACGCAAGAAGAGGATTCAGTCATCTGAGGATTCGATTTTCAAGGATTCGGGACAATTCAAGAGAACTAACCAAAGCTGTATTATTGGAAATATATTCGGAAGAATGTGGGGGAAAGATTCCCCATTTCAGGCGATACTCGTTTCCGCTTGACGAGATACTTAACAAGCGAACCTAACAAGCAAGAAGAGACTTTGAGATGATTTAATCACAACAAGAGAGCCTTGGTTTTAGGAGAACTAGTGGAAAAAGAATGTATTAAGCTTGCCTGTGAACTTTGAATGTCTAACTCATGGGCAATGAAATCAGCAATCTCTGAGAAATTTGGCTTCAGTGAAGAATTGTTCATACTGATTGATACTTCGAAGGTGATACTTCCAATTCGGAAAACACCTACATGTTCGTAAGATATAGTCAATAACAGGTTACCAACAAAGTAGAAAAGAAAAAAGAAAATCTGATGTAGCTAGTGACAGTGCTATAGATGGTGTTCAATCTCCAGAAAACCAGACTTTCAAGGCGATAAACAGTCTTGCAAAAGATTGTAGCTAAATATGCAAAAGAAGTCATTCGATTCAGTAAACTTCTGGGTTATCTATTCAGAGCATACTATGTGAGACAGAGAGACACAAAAAGCCAAAATATGTGGAATTGATTCGTTTCTGTACAAGAAAAAGAAAAATCAAGTAACCAATGGAAAGTGTTACAAGATGAATAGCAATTCATTATCTTTGTTTAGAACCACAACTGTATAAACAGAGTTCTTGTCTTGTGAGTTTAAAGTGTAAAAAAAAATCAAAGAAATAAGAGGGATGACAAAAAGAATGGTTTAGATAAATCCCTGAAAGTCCGAACAAACTACCTGGAAGATCAGCCGCAGGAGACTCGCTCGAAGCAGGGCTTGGAGAAATTGTATGAGAACTTTTGTTTTGGGAAACAGGTGAAGTAGGTGCAGGAGAATCTGGTGCCGCAAGCCTCCTCCATAGATCAGAACAGTTGGTCTTCAAAAACCCGAGCTTGTCATTTTCACGGTCATAAGTGACAAGCGTATTACGGACAACAATTCCTGATCAAAATGTTAAAATGTACAAACTTTAACACTCTCACATGGAAGCAAATTCACTAACAGAATTTGAACTCGATTTGAAATCAAAGAGTGGAAAACATGTGATATGTTTTGACACTAAATCGTACATGATATATGTTTTCATATAAAATGGATGCAAGATATGTAAACTGAATCTGCACAAACACTACCTCCTAGGAGTGTTGTTGAGTCTCTATCCGGAAATATTCCAAGGCAGTACGCGCCTCTAACTTTAGTGTGCTACAACCATGTCAAAAGACAAATGGAAACTGTTATAATGCTTTCTATTTAATATGAAAATGTTAATACTTGCTCAAATGATCAAACAAGTAACTTAAAAGAAAAGGATGAAGCTATTTCACTTTACCAAGTTATTACCCTGAATAAGTAGTTCTCGGGAGAAAGGATCAGTTTCTGACCATTTCCGAATTCCATAGCGATCTCCGGGAAAAAATTGTGTACCTCAGCCACATCCCTGAACGACATTCCAAATTACAATATCCTTAAGACCCAAAATATATATATATATATATATATATATATATATATTCGAAGTGCCGTAATATAGTTGTTTTACACAAACCTTCCAGCACCAGAGAAACAAATATCATCATAATTTTGGTCTGGACCATGGATTCGTTTGAGAGATGGAATCTCCTTAATGACCTGTAACAATGACATAATCACATGAGACTACAATAAGGAAGAAACAACAACATTTTATATCCTAAGCTTATACATCCATTGATGGTCATGACAGCAATATTTACATAGCTCTCTATCTACTAACTAACAAAAAAAAAAACTGTTGGAGACAGGACACTAATGAAGAGAAAAGAGCTGAGAGATGAGCAAACGTTTATACGACTTTAGATATCTCACCGCATCCTTTATGGCGTTAAACGCTTCCTTTGGAAAATAAGCATATGTTGTTCCACTATCCAAGACGGTTCCATGCTTTCCGTTAAAGATCTTTGGGTTTAGCTTCAGAGACTTGCCAGCAACATGCATTTGTTTCAGGTCAATGTTATAGTACGGACTGCAAGCACCCGAAAACTACAGTGATGTGTGAGAAGCTCGAGATCTACACTAAAATTTCATATACCGAACTAACCGCAAAAATCTATGAAGTTACTCTACCTGCGAAAAGGATCCGAATGAGAAAACACCATTCCTGCAGTAGGAGAGATTTTACCAAGTACCATAGCACCACCACCAACTTCCATTCCACCATAACACAACGAAAAAGAGTCCTCCATAACACCCTTGTCAACAAGCTGATCAACAATACTGAGCTTACCACGACCTAACCCCATTATACCATCAGCACGCTGGCTGAAAAGGTCCCCTGTCTCCGAGTTCTCGCATCCAAAAACAGCACGCTGCGGAGAAAGCTGGCTCTCGTTGCCGAAAGATATCAAATCCTCACTTAGAACCCCACTACTCGAGCTCATCTCAGCATATCGTCTTTCGTAGACGCATAGTTTCCCATCATCATCACAATTACAGTCAGGATTGCATTTCAAAGCCTCGTAGCTAGTAGATAATTCAGGTTGAAACTTTGGATCCTGAAAAAAAACATAAACCAAAACAAATTCCTCAGCCAAATAATTCTACAAACCAAAAACAAATTCCATGGCCTAATCACAAACTCAATACTCTCCTCACACCTTAATCAAGCACTACTAAAAATCTAATTGATTCTATCATATAGCTATATCATTTATGAAGATCATCTTCTACAAACAAGTATCTGAAAATATCTCAAAGTAACTTTAGTATAGAGGTCTAAATCACCTGATCCTGAAAAAAAAATCCCTTAGCCAAATAATTCTACAAACCAGAAACCATTTCCAAGGCCTAGTCACAAAAAGGAAAAGCATAATATCTAGAAAACAAACTCAACACACTCTCCTTACACCTTAATCAAGCCCTACTGAAATTTAATTGATTCTACCATATAGCTTATATTAATTCTGAAGATCATCTTCTACAAACAAGTGTATCTGAAAAGATCGAAAGGACCTTTAGTATAGAGGTTTAATCACCTGATGCTTCCCACAATGTTTACAAGTTGAGCAAGGTACATATGTGACAGTACTTCCAGTATCTACAATCAAAGCAAACTCCTGTGGAGGTGTTCCTATCCATAAGCGAGTCGTATAGTAACTGTACAAGAACGAGAAACAAAGAACACAGAATTATCAAGAATTGCCTGTCGAGACCAGGATCAATCAGAGAAGTTAATTGCTAATTATTCGAATAGAATCACCAACCCGTTGGCAAGGAGGTCATCGTAGAGCTTCATGTGAGCGTTAGGGAGCTGAGATTGTTGGAGACGACGGCGGCGGAAATCCTCGACTCGCGACGGAAGGGAGGAGTAGCTGAGCGGGAAAATCATCGGCGATTCGGCTGCTAAATCGAACTTATTAGCATCGGTCAGATCGGAGAATAAACAGAGGATGAGGAGAACGAGGACGAGGAGAGGAGCTCGATCCATGGATGGTGGATTAAGGAGTTGATCAATGGATTTGATTGAAGAACGCCGGTGGCGACGGAGGAGATAGGCGGAGTAAACTCCACCGTGGCTCCGTCGTAAATATCCTTCGTCGTCGAAGGAACAATGAATGTTGAAAAGAGAGAGAGGGAGAGTGAAATGGTCTGTCTGTCTCTCACGGTGGATTCATGTTTTTCAATATTATTTAATTATTTATTTTTCAATTTTTAGTGCTTCTAACGACGACGAATAATGTAATGTCACGTAGTAGTCAACGACTCTAAAAAGTCACAAACTCTCTTTACTATCAGTTAAAGCGCGTTGGACTTGTAAAAAATTTACCCAAGTAAAAAAAGTTATCGGGTGGAAACAGTTTCGTCCGCTGATTAATAGAGATGAGTTTATTAGAAATCTTCACAATAATATACATAGATACACTACCAGAAAAAAAGTATACTAATTTTTGATGTTGAAGATTCTTTTTGTCAGAAATTTCTTGACAAAATATCGGTTTCGTCCGCTGATTAATGGAGATGAGTTTATTAGAAATCTCCATAATAATATATATGATGTGGATACAGAAATTTACACTCAGAAATTTATTTGTTTTTGTAAGAGAAAAACTTTAGAAGAATTAAGAGTTAGATTCTCTCGAACAGATTGACAGTATAAGCTAGTACTAACTGAAATAAGGATTTGATATTAATCGGTTGAATGAAACAATTACAAAGATTTCTCTGAAAGAGATGAACTGAAAAGAGCTATGAGAGCAGTTACAGAGTTTTCGTGTGTAAAAAGCGTAGAAGAAGATCAAGCTGAAGGTCTCTCAAACTAAGATGTTCGTCTCCTTTATATAGCTCGCCTTGTCGAGCTTCAATCTCCAGTGCGTATCTCGGCCACGTGCAGCAGCTTCAGCCGGTGATATGAGCATGGGGACATCTAACCTAGAAGATGAGCATGTAGCCGTTGGACAACAAGATCAAGACCAGAAGGAGGTTGAAGAAGTTCTTAAGGTGCAAGGAGGCCCAATGACCCGAGCTAAGACTAAGGCATTTCAAAATGCCTTAGAGGTTCTACTTAATCAGTTTAAGTATGAATCAAGTACTAAGGAGGCTACACGTTCCACACTGGTCTGCATTGTAGCCGGGGACTAAGCTAGTGGGTTTGTGGGATACTTTGTGCTCTTTTTCCCTTAGTGAGTTTTGTCCCATTGGATTTTCTCACTAAGGTTTTTAACGAGGCAAGTATTCCCACAATGTCATTGCCCATTAAGCTTGGCCTTGTTCCAAGCCCACTTCTTTCTACCATCCGTGGCTTGGATGTGTCTAGGTTCATTTCTTTATTTTAGTTGAGTCTTTTCTTGTAGTTTGTGATATTTTGAACAAGAGTCATGCATGGTTAGTCAAGGGGGTTTGTCCCAAGACCAACTTATTGCTCTCTTGTTGTCCGTTCTCCTTAAAACCGTGTGTTAGTTGTTTGTGTGGTTTCATCTATCTTTTGAATAAATTTCCTTTGCAAAATAGATCAACTCTCTTGGTGCGTCATATCCTTGAGAAATCCTGCTTAGAACCTAGGTGCGTCATATCCTTGTGTTCTAGTAGTTTTGTATCAAGAGCCTTCCATATCTCTTGCTACATTCCATCTTCACTCTTTCACCACATTCCCCTTCAACCGAAACAACCCCCCCCTTACCACCGTCCGGATCATTCCACCATCTCACAACAAGTATTCCATCACTTAGCTTAAAAGGATCGATCATTGACCGGGATCATATCAAGTGGTATCAGAGCAAACCTTCCAAAGCTAAGTTTTCTGATCCAATCCGTCTTTATTCATCATTTCAATATTTTTTTTGACTCTTTATCTTCTGTCGAAAATATTTTTAAAATTATTGTTCATCACGGTTTTGATCTCTTGTTGGTCCACAAAATTTTTAAAAATAGTTTAGAATTTTTATAAAATTCTAATTTACCCAAGAAATACTTACTGCGAGAAATTTTGTTTTCAGGAGCAATGGCCGGGGAAGATGACCCGGAACCTTCAGCTGTATATGCTCAGAGGATGTTGGTCGAAGTCCTCACGGCTGAGATGAAAAAAATGTTGCAAGTTGAGGTAGAAAAGATCAGGCAAAGCTACGAACAGAGAGAAACGACTCAGAGACGCCAAGGCAAAGAAACCGTGAGAGAAGATGAACAAGAAGGGCAGGTTAGTGGACATCAGACTGATCAGTACTACAAAAGCAGTAACTCCTCTAAAAGTGGCCGTAGAAGTTCTAGACAAGGCAGAGATCGTGTGCAAGACAACTTGGCCGGTCTTAAGTTGAAGATTCCCTCTTTTCACGGCAAGTGTGATCCAGATGCCTACCTTGAGTGTGAAAAGAAGATAGAGCTGGTGTTCAATGTTCAACATTACACTGAGGAGAACCGTGTTAAGGTGGCGGCCACAGAGTTCTACGACTATGCCCTAAGCTGGTGGGATCAACTCGTCACAACCAGAAGGAGAAACCAAGAGTATCCGGTTACAACTTGGAATGAGATGAGAAACTTGATGAGGAAACGGTTTGTTCCGAGTCATTACCATCGCGAGCTACATCAGAGGCTTCGGAGATTGATGCAAGGCAACCGTTCTGTGGAGGAATATTTTCAGGAAATGGAAACACTAATGCTTCGTGCAGCTATCTTGGAGGACAGTGAAGCTACGATGGCTAGGTTCCTCGGAGGCCTTAACCGAGAGATTCAGGACCGCCTGGAGACACGACATTATGTCGACTTAGAAGAGATGCTTCACAAAGCAATGTTGTTTGAGCAGCAAGTCAAGAGAAAAGGGTCGTACCGTTCGGGTTCTAGTAACGGACCAAACAGTCGGACAGTTTATCCGCGGGACGATAGAAACTCGTACCGGTCAGCATATCCGCAGAATCAGCCGAGAGAAGATAAGCCGATCAGTTCCAAATCCGAAACTGTCCAACCATATGGGAAACCCAAGGAGGCTAATACCAAGGCTCGTGATGTAAAGTGTTTTAAATGCCAAGGCCGTGGACATTACGCCAATGAGTGCATCAACAAACGTGTTATGGTGTTACTAGAAAACGGTGACATAGAATCAGAGGATGAGCAACAAGAAGAAATAGAGGAGGAACATGAGTTATTGCCAGTGCAAGGAGAGTTGCTTGTAGCAAGAAGGACATTGACCGTGCAAAGCAAACCAGAAGAACAAGATCAGCGTGAGAATCTGTTTCACACTCGTTGTTTGGTTCAGGGAAAAGTTTGCAGTTTGATCATAGACGGTGGGAGTTGCGCTAATGTGGTAAGCATATCATGGTTAAGAAGCTGAGTTTGCAAGCTACTCCTCACCCCAGCCCATATAAGCTACACTGGTTGAATGATAAAGGAGAAATGAAGGTCACCGAACAAGTCTTAGTTCCACTGGCCATAGGTGAGTATAAAGATGAGATACTTTGTGATGTGCTACCTATGGAAGCAAGGCATATCCTGCTAGGGAGACCGTGGCAATCTGACCGCCGGGTGATACATGATGGATTCTCTAACCGGCACTCCTTTGAGTTTAAGGGTAAGAAGAATACTTTGATACCCATGACTCCTCAAGAAGTCTACAATGATCAGAAACACACCTTGAGGTCAGCCAAACATTTAAACTTATTTGCTAAGGCTGGACAGGTTAAGAAAGCTTTATACTCCGAAACACCTATGCTATTATTTGTTTATAAAGAAACATTAACCACCATGGCTGATCTTACACTGGTGTATCCGAGTGAAATGCAAGCTCTTTTGCAGGATTATGAAGATGTCTTTCCGGAAGAGACACCAACGGGACTACCTCCCATCCGGGGCAGAGAACACCAAATAGACTTCATTCCAGGGGCATCATTTCCAAACCGTCCCGCCTACCGTACCAACCCCGTGGAAACCAAAGAACTACAGAAGCAGGTGGATGAACTGATGGCCAAGGGACATATCCGTGAAAGCATGAGCCCTTGTGCAGTACCAGTCCTTCTTGTTCCAAAGAAAGACGGTAGCTGGAGGATGTGTGTTGACTGCCGTGCAATCAACAATATCACGGTGAAGTATCACCATCCCATTCCTAGGCTAGATGACATGTTAGATGAATTGCATGGTTCTAACATTTTCTCCAAAATTGACTTAAAGAGTGGTTACCACCAGATCAGAATGAAAGAGGGGGATGAATGGAAAACCGCATTCAAAACCAAACATGGTTTATATGAATGGCTGGTTATGCCATTCGGATTGACTAATGCCCCTAGCACTTTTATGCGTTTAATGAATCATGTTCTTAGGGCGTATATAGGCATCTTTGTGGTGGTTTATTTTGATGACATCCTTGTTTATAGCAAAGGTCTAGAAGAGCATGTGGAACACATTAGATTAGTGCTTAATTTGCTCAGAAAAGAAAAACTATATGCTAACCTTAAGAAGTGTACTTTCTGCACTTCTAGTCTTGTTTTTCTTGGTTTTGTAGTAAGCTCAGAAGGAGTCAAAGTGGATGAGGAAAAAGTGAAGGCTATCTGTGACTGGCCAAGTCCTAAGACCGTAGGAGAAGTAAGGAGTTTCCATGGCCTAGCCGGCTTTTATAGGAGATTCGTGAGGGACTTTAGTACTATAGCTGCCCCACTCACCGAAGTCATCAAAAAGGAAGTTGGGTTCAAGTGGGAAACGGCTCAAGAAGAGGCTTTCCAAAGCCTAAAAGAGAAGCTTACTAACGCCCCTGTTCTTATATTGCCTAATTTCTTAAAGACTTTTGAGATTGAGTGTGATGCATCATGAATATGTATTGGCGCTGTTCTAATGCAAGACAAGCAACCCATAGCATTTTTTAGTGAGAAGCTTGGAGGAGTCATGCTCAACTATCCAACATATGATAAGGAGTTGTACGCTTTGGTAAGAGCCTTACAAACGTGGCAACACTATCTCTGTCCTAAAGAATTTGTCATTCACACGGACCATGAGTCTCTCAAACACCTCAAA